GACACCACTGAAGGGATGGAATGAGTTAGGAACTGAAATAGGTCCACTGATTGGACTATTTGCAAGCCATTTATGTCCTTGTCAATATCTGTGTCTGTACAGTGATGAGGATGGAAAGCAGAAATCAGTGGGTTGTCAAGTAGATGGGAAAAAATGGCAGAGATCAAGCAAACATTACATTTTCAACAAGCATAGCTATAAAGAGAAAAATAATAAAATGATAGCTAGAAGGAGGCAGAAGGAGATAGAAGATAGAAGCTAAGATTTTTTTTTCTTTTCAGAAAGAGATTTGAGCATTGAGCATGTTTTCCTGTTATGTGCCAAATATGAAATCCAACTTGAATTGCTTAAACAACAAAGGGAATTTACTGGCTCTTTAAAGTAAAATGATCCAGAAGGAGAGTCAGCTTTAAGAATGGTTTGATAAGTTTCTGCTTCTCTAGTGAAAACTGGTCACTAGCGTCCACAGTGGGATCAGCTTCCTTGAGACCTCATGGCTTCCGCAGTTAGAATTTGTTGGTGAGAGAAGGGAAAAGGAGGTGACAGATGCTGGGAGAAAACCAGAAAGTGACTCCATTACAGTCCACATCTTTGGTTACAACAACTGACATCCAAACATACCTTTGTTCCCACATATACACTTTCAAAAATACCACTGCCAACATGAAATATATTCCCAGCTTCCCCAAATGGAGTGAACTCAAAAACCTTTCCCATGACTGCATCTAGGCCAAGCCCATGGTCTCTGTGACAGGTGCAGCCTTTTCCAGGAGGAATGGCTCCAGTACCTACAGCTAACTGAGAAGTCCAGCACACAACATCCAGCAGCAGGAAACAGGATCATCATAATGAAACCTCCCACCTGGGGAAAAGGAGAATTGAAGTCAAGCGCTCGCTTTAAATGGCACAGTTCCTAGGACAGCTTTCTGGGGAGAACTTCCCTGTCCATTTCCTTCCATTGCTACATCAGCGATGGACACTGGAGTGGCTGCCTCATCTGAGAGCTGACTACTTTAGCAGTCAACTTTCTGATAGTGTGAATTTGGGGGTCTATGAATAGATTGGGGGGTGAGCGGATACAGGCTATTTTTAGCCAGGCTGGGTTGAGTTTCTGGCAAAATCGCTCTCTCAGGAAATGAGAAGGACTCTTAATCTATTTGTTTCTAGCCCAGATCAGGGTTAGTAGTTAAAGCCACAGATGTTATCTGGTAAGAGCTGTTAAACCCTGACCTGGGCCTAGAAGTTTCTGTTTCCTAGTAGCCCAGCTTTAGTTTCTCCCATTCGCTTAACCCTCAGGATAATAGTTTCTACCCAAAATCTTAAGACTGACAAGGCAAATATAAGGGGCCCCTTACCCCCTAGGGGGAAACTAGATAAAGTCCAACAGAGGAACTGGGAAGAAGATCGGTACACAGGCCCCTCCTGTACTCTGACTGTACCTCTGCTGAGTCCTCTCTCTCCCGGCTTCTGCTTATATTAACCTCAGTTTGGGGCCAGGAATTTAGTCCTTCCAACCCTATGAGAAACCAGATAACCAGATTTCAAGTCATGTCTGATAACAGTCTGCAAGCAGAAGACATTCCTTAACAAAATATCTCCTTTCAACTTCCAGGAGGCCTGATTTCAAAAGAAGCGTATCTCTTTATCTTAAGACATTACGGAACACTAAACATACACAACATACTTTAGCACTGATTTTTCTGACATGATTCTTATCCCAGAATTCAACAGGCCATAGTTTAAAAAAACAAAACAAAACTCCTTTGTCACCACAAATAAGAAAAGTTCACTTTCCAGCACAAGACAGAGCAATTCACCACCCCTTCCTTCTTTGGTTCAGCAAGTTCTACATTTTTATTCACAACATCTTATTTTCTATTGTCGAGTTCAACGTCAGTCTAGTTCAGTAAGACTCATTATGTGGCAACAATAAAGGTGAGCTTGCTTTGCAGGGTTTTGGTTTTGGTTTTTGGCTTTGGTTTTAGTTTGTTTATCTCATGCATTTGAAAAAATCCAGAGACAGGACAGTCCTCAGTTAATTTTTGATCCGGGCTCCATTTCTCTGGCTCTCTCTCAAATCTGCTCATCTCTATGCAGGAACATCACCCCTGGGTGGTTCCCCTTCTAATAACAAAAGCTAGGCAGGCTTCACATCTGCCCACCACAGAGACATGGAATTCCCACAACACTCTCTGGAATTTGAAGGATCTGTAATTGTCATGTGTCTACTACTGAACCAATCCTTAGGTCCACGTGGATAACACGGGCTGAATAATCAGTACTCAGGGAATTCTTCAGAACTGAATTATCCACTCAAGAGCCACATGGATTTGCAAAATCAGAAGTTAGCAGCTTTGAAAGTTGCAGTAAAACAATACATCTGGGGAACAATTAAGCAATGCCCCTTTAATACTCAGGAAGGGGAAATGGACGTAGTAAAGCAGGAATTATTCAAAGGAAGACGAGCCTCTCATTGAAAGAAGAGATAAATCAGAAGTGAAGTGGAAGAGCTTATCTGCAGGTAGCAGAAAGATATCACATATGGCAACATATTAATTAATTAATTAACAATCCAGACTGTATTTTACACTAACCATCACCACTGACAGCCTGCATTTCCAAAGTCAACCTGCCTTGCCTGGAAACAAAGTTCTCTTGAATTTTATTTCAATTAAAAATTTTATTGCGATAATTGTAGAACCATATGAAGTTAAATAAGTAAACAAATAACACAAAGTGGTGAAGTCTACACTTTAACCAGTTTCTCCAACAGTAATTTTTTTTTCAGTACAGTGGCATATGGTAGCCAGGATATGTACGTTAATACAATCCACCACTTCTCTTGGATTTCAAAACCAACTGAAAACAATAGAATTGATTCATAATATAGAAGAGAAAAGCCTAAAGTTCAACTGAGGAACGGTTTGTCTGATGGCCTCTTTGCTTTTGAGGAAAAACAGTCATTTCAGATAATGATGTATGTGGGAAAAAATGGGAGGAAGAAGTTTGCAGTGAAACTTATTGAGAAATGCCAGGATTTTTCAAGAAAATACTTGCCTACATAGCAATCCATATTTAAACACTAATGATATTTTATTTGAAGAATGTGTATCTGTTGTGCTTTCTAGTAACGAGCCTGACAATGTGATAAAAGCAACAGTGACAGCATTTCAGAGTGGGCTGGCTTTAAGTCAAGGTGATTAAAAGAGTATTTCTAAGTTTCCACGATGTATAGTTACTTCCGGTTACTATGCTCTGCTTAAAATTTCTTTAACTATGTATTCCAAATTCATCAAAAAATAGTACTGTATTTTAGAGTGAAATAAATACAAAGAGTGAGAAACAAAAACTCAACCATGAATGAGATTCAGCAAAACAATCTTTAGAAAAAAAAGTGACAACCGACAAGTGACATTTTTCACCAAATGTAGAAGTAGGATTCTGCAGAAAATTTTGCTCTTCTTTACCAAAGGATCTGAATACATCTATAGAAATGTACATTCTGGGGTCTAATAGAATTTTTAAATAAAATATTATTTTTAAATGGCACATGGAGCAAAAGAAATCAAAACTCCTTACCAATTCTATAGTCTTCTAATTTTATATCTTAAAGCCATTTCTAAATTAATTTTATTCAGCTGAAGTATTTGTTGAGACCTATCCTATGATTGGCACTATCCCTGAATCCTGGGAATCTACTGGAATGCAAAATAGACATAGTTCCTCCATTCTTCAGCTTACATTATATGTAGGAAGAAAGGGAAAAGGTTTAGAGGAAAACAAGCATTTTTCTCCCCAAACTTTCTCATATCTGAAAGAACACTTGAGCAGAACACCTGGGTTCACATGGCTCTTTAAGGCAGGTTATCATTGCCTTAAACTGCACTCCTCAGGATTTTGGTGATTTAAACGAAGCCTTAGAATGTTGCATCGAAGTGGCAGTTTCAGTTGAATCCATGAAGTACTCTGCTTTCCCCACATCTGTTTCTCTTGATATTGAGCCAAGGGTGACAGTCACACTCTTCCTGTAGTCTCCTTCCCAAAATCATTTAGGAATATAGCAAATTTAATTGAAGGTGGGAGAAGATATATAAGAGGATTTGCAGTCAAGCAAGGCATCCATTCAAACTAAATACTGCAGCACGGAGGGTGTAGCTCAGTGGTGGAGCATGTGCTTAGCAAGCATGTGGTCTGGGCTCAATCCCCAGTACCTTCGTTACATAAGGAAACAAACCTAATTACCTCCCCTTAAACAAATCCAACTTTTAAATTTTTATTTATTTTTATTAAATAAACAAACCTAATTACCTCCCCCCAAACAACAACAAAATTTTTTCAAAAAAGACAAACTAAATACTGAAGCCTCTGGCTACCCAAATAGCTATGATTTGTTTTTTTCCCATGGGTCATTTTATCCAATTTAGGACTCCAGCCTAAACCATCTCTCTTGGCCTTTCCTTCCTCACGTGGCCCTTTCTCTTCTCCGCCCATCCCTTCAGTGTAACCCTAATGTGCCTCACTCTCTTCAGCCTCTTGTCCAAATGTAGTTATAAGCCTACCTTTGCATAATCCAAATTCATCAAATTCTGTATCACCCTGTTCCTCTGGAATGTGATTATGGCTCTAAATAGCAGATCTGTCCCTCCATTATTACATCATGAGATATTGCTATTACAGGTCTGTAGTTGACATAAAAACAGTTGCTTCAGTATACTTCTGGGTGAAACAAGTGGAAAATGCATGTCCTAGTACCAGAGAGGGATTCGGGGATGGGGGGCAGGGGCAATGGACGGCAGAAGTCACCCTCTGGACAAAAGAGTTCAAAAGAAGCAAATGCAAGACATCACAAGACAGTAAAATCAATTAAAATTTGCCCTCACCATGACCCCGCCACTCCACTGGGCTTTTGGACATGGTGTGCCTCCAACGGGAAGCAGGAGTAGAAAAGCCTCAGTCACTCTGGCGGGCAGCCCCTCAGAATGTAGGACGTGAAGCCATGAGAGCCTGGCACGACCTCAGGAGAAAACAGGTGTGGCACGGAGAGAGGTGATAGTAAGACGCGTGGCTCAGTTAGGATTGGGCTTGGTTGCAAGTAACTGGAAATCGAACAAACAAGGACCAAAGGAAGGGTGAATGTCTCTCAAATAACAAGAATCTCGCTGCCCTAGGGATCAGGATGCTTGAATTTTTCTGTTCTGCCATTTCTAGCATATGATTCCCATCCTCATGTCACATGACAGCTGCTAAATCTCTGGCACTGCAGACAAGAAAAAAGAAGGGTGCAAAGGGAAGAGTGAAATCCCTACCCTTCAAGGTTCACCTTTTTCATGGGTAAGAAAAGGAGGGAAGTCCTCTCTCAGAATTTCCTTCCTTATCTACTTGCCTAGAACTATGTTGCATTCTTACTCTGGCTTACAGGAGATGGGATCTTGAGTGTATTTTTTTCTCTCTTGATTTTATAGAAGTCACGGGGGAAGGAGTTTATAACGGGTGGAGAGAGTCGACCCATTTGCACAACTGGAGAGGAGATGAATAGGAACCCCTCACGACTTCCAAGACCCAAGGAAAGAGAAACACAGTGAAACGGTAAGTTGCTCATCAGAAAGGTGCATTCACCTCAGGGACTCACATGTTCACTCAGGAACAGTAACTTTAAAATATCAGTGACGTCAAGCGAGATGAAAGGTATTTCCCGCTGAAGCCACTTGAGAAGTCCCCAGTGTTGATATGGCATCTACCCAATAGTGACATATATGTATATATGTGTCAGGTGTGCGTGTCTGTGTCTGTGTCTGGGTGTGTGTATGTGTGTGTACAGAAGGAAGTCGGAGATGAGGACAAGGGGGAGGAGAGAGAGGAGGAGAAGTAGTTGTCACCCGAAGATAAAAACCCTTTCACCTTGTTCAGGGACAAGAGAGCCTGGAACTGCATTTCAAATACCTCCAGAAGTATTAGGAAATAAGAGCATGAAGCTGGGCTATATTCCATACAACAAGTTAATCTGGAGAACACAAAAGAATTAATGGATTATGGTTTTACATAAATAATTGTATAAGCTTTGACCTACAGCAAACTTGGCCATACATTTGTTGGTTAAGAAACTTCATTTAAAATCTTTTTTTTTAAATGAAAGGATAGGTTCTAAAAATATTTTCCAGAAAATTTCAGACAAATGCAGAAAAATACTGGTAGGCATGGGTTGCTAGCATATATTAATAATGTTCTGATAATGGACTACCAAGAAGTGTGAAAGTTGCCCCTGTTTCAAATATTTAATCTGGGTGCCAAAACAAAATTAATCAAAGTAGAGATAAATTGTGTTGTATTAAGATGTAAGATTTCTGATGTTAGTTTCTGCTTTTGAAAGAACACCAGTAGTATTCTCACCATGCTAAACATATATATATATTTTTTACAGGAGAAACTGTTCCAATTTTTCTTAGGTTCCAATATTTCAAAAGCTCTAAATTTGATCTTGACTATTGGCACTTTCATAATGCTAACACTCTTTTTAATAAAGGCATGCAGACAATAGTGGATCAGGACATATTAACAATGAAGTTCCACATGAATATTGTGGAGATTTGTCACTCATAGTAAGAGAACTGGAGAAAAAATAGTCATGGATGGAATTAATTGGTTTTTGAACCTACTCTATCTGGTAAAGGAAGAAACTTATTTGGGTTAGTACCTGAATTATCTAGATCTTTCAAAAGGAAAAAAAAAGACAACTAATTTCCCTTGATTCAGTTGAAAAATAAAAGCATTACATGAGAATATCTCATTTGAGTAATATTCAAAAGTATCCTTCTTAATAATTTATTATTAATTATAAATAATGTTCATAAATCTAAAAATTCCACTTAAGGAATTATCCTATAATGCTGGTAGTTTCATTTACAAACACACTTACTGTGGTGGGTTTTTTTTTATTATTTATTAAACATATATTAACTGAAGACAAATGACCTGGCACTGTTGTTCTATGGATCAGAAATAAAGCCAAAAAGTTTGTCCTGGTGGAATTCCTTCTAGTTGGGGGTAGGAGCAACAGACATCAATACACACATACAAACATAGACATATCAAATGAGTTCGATGGGGACAGATACTATAAAAAACAAAAAAAGGACATAAGTAAATGAAGCTGGGAAAATTCTGTGAGTGGGATGAAATTTTAGTGTCGGCAGAAATATAAGAGAAGGTGAAGTTCAAGTAAAGGCCATGGAAGCTTTCTGGGGAAAAGCACACCTGTCAGAAGGCAAGCCGGGAAGGCCTGTGGTGCAGCGAGACCGGCAGGGAAGAGGCCACCAGGGCCAGAGTCGGATGAGGAAGAGACGGAGTGGTAGGAGGTGAACTCAGAGAGGTGTCGGGACACCAGACCTCTAGAGTCGTGTGAGCCCTCATTAGGACTTGGACTTAAAATTACAAATCTGGCTACAACAAACTCCTCAAATGAAATGAACAGTACACTAAGGCAGACTTAATATTTTTTTCAGGATGATGGGCTACAATACTGATATTAAAACTATGTGTATGAATATTTCCTACTGACATTGGAAAACCTCTTGGTAGAATGCTAAGTGAATGAAGCTGTCTACACTGTAAAAGTCAGCTGATTTTAAATATCTTTAAAAATAAAAGGCTAGAGAAAATCATGGAAGGAAATGTGTTAACATGTGAAACGGCAAATAATAAGATTCTGGATTTTTTTTGTTGTTAGCTTTTGTTTTTTCCCAACTTTTCTTCAACATGCACATGGAACTTTCATAACCAGAAAAGAATTTCAGTTAATTTTTTTTTAACTTGGATGAATTTTTTTAAAAAAAGGTGAGACCCTGAGGTAACCAGCTCTACGCAGCCATGTCTCCAGAAAAGCTACAGCTGTGGGCCCAGTTTTAGCAGCTCTGGCCTCACTCTCCTTGTATCATGAGTTGTCACACTTTTCCTAGTGACTGTCTATGCTACTGTTTTAATTATGTGGAGAAATAGCTGAGGAAAAAAAAGAGAAACAAAAAACAAAACTGGAACCAAGTTCTTGGCAAAGACTAGCTATTTAGTGCCGAAGGCAAGCATAGACTGAACTCTGAGGCAGGATCTGAGGTAACATTCCTCATGATTCAAAGAATGCAAAATTCCTGGCAGAGAGCTGCTTGTGTTTTTCTAAATTGAATGAATTTGTTGCAAGAGATGGTATAGATTCTCTCACAGACCCAAGGAGGAGGCTTCAAATGAGGTCTGTACCTGCTGATCTGCTAGGTGCACTTGTGCAACAGAGCCAGCCGCTCTGCTTCAGTGCTTCTTTATTCCTGGAATGACAGGGGTGGGGAAAGGGACAGCAGGTGACGGGAAAGCATTAAGCAACCCACCTGCAGACATTGCTTAAATCCAGGTTAGGTTCACAGCACCTCAAGCGCCGTTTGGCAACAGATCTTGTTAGCAAACCCTCTCAAACCGTAGGAAGGAGTGGAGGTGAAGAAAAGTGTAAGCATGTTTTCAAAGAATACAAGATTTGATGAAGTCTAGTTAGGAAAACAAAATAAAAGATCGAGCACATGGAGACACTGGTTTATATGCTATCACATCAGCAATGTATACATTACACCAGACTTGTGATCCAAGGGGGCCTCGGACTAAGGAAGAGCAGAAACAGAGCCAGGAACGTAATATGATGGCAGTTTCCCCAGCACAGCGTCTTTCCAAGGAAACGTGCACACAAACAATGTACATTAAATGTAATTCTCTACTTCACCTCATACAAACAGATGCAAAGTTGAAGTCTGTCGATCTCCTTCCATTTTCCTGGCAGCCACCAATTCAGAGCTGTAGTACATGCAGAATCCAAGCAGACACAAGGGATTCCTCCTCTGAAATAGACAGAACTGATGTTTACTTAGGGGACTGAAGGAAATAAATGAGTTCTTAACATACCATCAGTAAGACTAACCATTCAACTTACCAGGTAATAAGTGAATTTCCACAAACCCCAAAAGTAAATTCTTCATATGTTTCTGTGGAGACGTGCTTCCTTCTCTGTGCAACACTGAATGAACTAGCACTCAACAGCTGAAAATCACACACGTGTGTGCACACACACATGCACGCACATGGACTCTGCTCAGCCATCAGCATAGCCAAAGTATCGGTAACGCCCATGAAGAATGAATGATGCCCAATTACAAACCGAGTTTTTATACAAGGTTGAGGGTGAGTAAAGAGATAGTTTCCTTTTTCAGCTCTGGAGGAAGCTACAAAAATTAGAGTGATAGATACATACATATATGTACATGTACATACACATATATGCACATCGATATATACATTCACTCATGCATGCACACATACATTCATTAGCTATTCCCATTGTTGCAAATTAGTGACCTTGACTCTTTTGTGGCCAAAGCTAAGATCTTAACCTCAATGCAATCATAACATTTGTTTGTGCTTATGTATCAGGCCAAGAACAAATATTTCTTTTGCAATTCAATTAACCACCACCAGCACCCCATCCATCCCCTCAGTGCTACAACTAAGATCTACTTGGTATAGTCACTTCCGCTATATTCAGGAGAGAATCTCAACCCATGGCATTCCCAAGTATCAAATATGTCTTTCAAGTGGATAAACTGAAGAACAGAGACAAAATTTCTAGTGGTTCTATGTAATAGAAATAGGATACATGGTCCCCGCCCTTGACCTCAGATCAAGAATGGGCTGTGACCTAGACTGAGGCTTCACCCCAATGTCCAAAGTGTTTGGTCCGAGAGGAGGCAAATTCCCCAAACCAGGCAAATCAAAGTACTTTCCTGGGTAATCTGGAGTTTGAGAAGAGAGTAGTTTTTGTTTTTGTTTTTGTTTTTCAACAATTTGATCTCGGAACTATAATTGAGGCCAAGAATTTCATTATCCATTGTTAAATTAATTAAGTAAGGAAGCTATTAGACTTAGGAGATGCTAATGCTATAGCAGCATGTATAAGTAAACCAAAACCTGAGCCTTTAATGCCACAAGGTTAGGAAATTGAAACCTAAATGCAACTAATCACAAACATCCAACTAGGCTTTAAGCTCTAGTCAACCAATAATTTTCTCACATTGCTTCTGCCTTTGCTCTACAAAAGTCTGTCCCTGAGCTGCTTTTGGAGAAGCACTTCTAACCACTTCTGGTTTGGCATTGCCCCATTCCAACTGATTTTTGTTCAGATAAACTCTTAAGATGTTTAACAGACTTCAGATTATTTTTAGTTGAAGTGTAATGGATTTACAATATTGTGTTAGTTTCGGGTGTTACAGCGAAGTGATTCAGTTATATACATATTTTTCAGATTCTATTCCATTATAGGTTATCACAAGATATTGAGTGTAGTTCTCTGCGCTCTGCAGGAAATCCTTGTTGCTTCTCTATTTCGTATATAGTAGTTTCTATCTGTTGATCCCATACTCCTAATTTATCCCTTCCCCTTTCCCTCTTGGCAGCCATAAGTTGGTTTACTTTGTCTGTGAGTCGGTTTCTCTTTCATATGTGCATTATTTTTTAGATTATTGTCTTTTTAACACCGTATTTCTAGCTGTGCCTTCAGGTGGCCCAGGAAAAAAGGGAGAGTTCAAGCCGAAGGAGTAGCAGAGATGAGAAGGAGCCGTCCAAAAAGTCCCTCTTTTCCTTCAGGCAGCTCAAGCTGTACCACTTGCAACCAAGACTCCCGAGCAGCAGGGCCAGATACTCTTCAGGAAAGACAGCCAACAACACCTATTTTGTGGATGTTAAACCCAGTACAACTTCAAGGTAGCAAGGGCAATAGAACCTGACTTAGCATCTCCGTTTTCCTGCAGAAGCTTTAGCTCCCTCTTCTTCTCACGGTTTAGGAAACATGTAAGAGTTTGGAAAAAAAAAAAAAGTCAAAGTTTTAGCACACCACCACTGCTCAGCCCAGTTTACCACACAGAAATGCCATCTGCTGAGCAGTCTTCAAAGCAGGTGAAGGCTGACCACACGGCCCTCCTCTCCGTTTTGTTTCCCTATCTTTCTGTCTCTGCTTCATGTCTCATAAAACTTTTATGTCTGAATGTTTAAAAAGTGATTTATGTACAATCCGCTGTAAGCATTTAGCTTGAGTATCAAATTCATTTGTCTGCTGATAGATAAAAGAACAAAACCGTCTTCTGTCTCGAGCAAGGCAAAACTGTAAAGTGAGGCAAATAGCGGTATACCTAAGAACCAAACTTTTTTTTTTTTTAACTTGGCCGATCCTCCCTGCTGTGTGCATCTAATGTTTTGCCTCTGAGAATAGAACTTATTAGCAGCCCTAAAGTAAAAAAAAGAAAAGAAAAAAAAAAAAGACAGGATATTTTCAACAAGGGCCTCCGCTTTGCCAAACATCCCAGAGTTTGTCTCCAAGGACTTGAAAAGAAAGGAAAGAATGAAGAACGGAAACCATAAAGCACGCACTGAGGCTATCATCTAATTACTGAATGAAGGGCACAGTTGTTTTGTCTGATTGCACTAAGCTAGTTATCCACTGCTAGCTTCATTGACAAAAGGGGAATCTACACAAATTATAGGGAAACTCAAGCACTAAAGGAATGTTTTGGTTCAGAGGTTTGCAATGACTATTGGCTTTGGTTTTTGGCAAAAATCTGTCTTTGCCGCATGAACTCGGCTGTGCTGGGTCAGCCTGAAGCGTTCCCAAAAGCCTAGAAGAGGACAGACTTCCTTGTCATCTGTATCCCATCAATAAATTAAAGTGATGTTCTCCAGCTCTTGTTTGTTTCTTGGCAGGGTAATCTACAATCAGAAAAAGAAAAGCCTTTCATTTGTGGACTCCAGCTAAAGGAAGGAAGCCTTTGTATGTGGATTCACTGGAGACCAAAATATTAAAAAGTGGAAGAGGAAAACCATATGCTACAGTTCTCCTTAGCAAGCGGCTCAAAGTTCTGGTTCAAGAAATGCTTCAGCTCATTACGCAGAAAAGTCTGACTCTGAGAAGACAATATACTAGTAACAATATTGATACCTCTGAATGTTACAAACATTGATATTTTAACTAATGTTCCGCTTTCTCCTACTGTTTCTTATCAGAAACACCTAAAAATTAGATACTTCAAAGAAACCTAAACTGATGACACATTTTAGCACAGTGCTTTCAGATTTGCACTTCACTTAAAAAGGAAGTGAGGAATCCAACGGAATCTGTATAGAGGATAATATTCATAAGCCTGTGGCTCTCTCCCAAGGCTAGTTGCAGCAATCAAATCCAGATTAGAGGTGAGAAAAATCACTGTACTGATTATCTGAACTCTCATAATAATGTATAAATTGCATTATTACATATAAACTCACATAAATAATTTTAGCATTGAGAAATCTTACTATTTCTCTTGGTTCTTCAGGGGTTAACCTTGCCCTCAGATCAGTTGTGAACATTGGCTCAGATCAGTACATTGATGAGAATAGAACTAGTGTTCAACCGCCTGTAGGAGAGAAAGCATTGGGGTCTCCTGATCCCTTTTACGTTGACCACATTTGTCTTTGGCTTCCTTTTTTATCTTTTTGAAGCAGTCAAGCAAGAAGTTCTACTCTAACACCTGTATCCTTTTAAAGAATATGACTTCTGGAGCAAATTTTTAGTACTTTATGACTTCATGTACCAGTGGTTCAGCTCCTTAAAAGAGGGCATTAGTTTGGTTTTTGTTTTGTGGTGGAGTCACTCACAAAAACCAGCAGCTGATCAAGTAGAAGGGGTATGACTGGTAAGAATATCTGATGAAACCTTGAGAGAGGCGTTTCTTTGTACAAAAATGTAGATCTGGCTTCCGTTACTCAGCAGATAACTGAATGCGCACTGACCTAGTTTACTGGAAAGAGGACTAAATCACAAGTCAGGAGATTTTTGTTCCTAGTTCTGGCCTTACTGAGTGCTGAGCAATATGCTCTCCAGAGCCAGACTGCCTGGCTTTGAATCTTGGCTCTGCCACTTACCAGCTGTGTCACTGGTGCTAGTCACTTAACCTCTCTGAGCCTCAGCTTCCTCATCTTAAAATCAGAATAAAAACAATATTCATCTCATAGGGTTGTAATACAGATGGCACATACTAGCCACTATATAAGCGTTTGTTCAATAAAATTAATTACTCTGCTACTGACAGCAAAGATCAGATCTCAGCCTGGTAAGGCTCAGTTTTTTGGTTGGTAAATGGAGGTAATAATTAGTGTTTTTTTTCATCATAGGGGTCTCCAGTGAGTAAATTATCTTATCTTTTGCCCATCCTGCTTCCAGACACAGGAAATCCAGGCACAGAGCAACAGCACTCAACATGGAATTTAAAGTGTTTGCAACAAAATTCTATCAGGAACTGCTTCAGGCTGTGGACAATTAAGTACTATTTTCCACTGAACAGAGGTTTGAACCTGACTAAGAGAAAGAATTCATTAGAGGACCAAAGAAGTTTTGCCTCTAAATGCCCAGAAGATACATCATTAACTGCATCTCTATGGCAAATCAGGCACATACGAGAATAATGAGCATTTCAAAGAGTTTTTTTAAAAGACTGACATCAGGTCACTCTGAGGAGTTTGATCTGTGACTTTAGGCAGATTACTTCTTTTTGGAAAAAAATTACTTTCTAATAAAAGAAATCATTAGTTTAGTTGTTGCTATTGTTGTTTTTAATTATCTTTCATCACAATCCTCTATTAGTCATTTGGACAACAATGACGAGTTTATTCTTCTTAGGAAATCTCCCACAAATAAGAAATAGGCACATTTAATTTTCCTTCTGAATTCATCTTTTTCCTGAACCTCAAGTTCGAAAGAATTCCTAAAACATCTTCCAATTCAATCCGTTTGAAACTTGACACTCACGACAGGGTGATGCCCAGTATATGCTCCCCACCCCATCTAGAAATAGCAAACTACTCCATTTCCAGACAGCTCTTATTAAAAATCTCTCATTGCATCAATGGTTAAAAATCTGGCAAAAAACAAAATGTAAAGATACACCTCACACTATACACAACAATATTTTCTGGATCAATGAGTGTATCGCCTTTTATAAATTCAATAAAATCAAAGAAAACTAAAAAGGAAATTTACATTTATCAGATCTTCGGAGAGGTGATGACTTTTTAAGGTTAAAATATAATAGAAACAACAAAAGAAAATAATTAACAAATTTAACTACACAAATATGTGAACTTTTTAGGGAATAACCAAAGCTAAAATGGTAAGGCATATAGTTAACTGACAAAAAAAATACGGATGAGCAATTAATAGAAAAAGAAATACAATCAGTAAATAAATAAAATATTAAAGGTCTCACCAGGAACAAAAAATGCAATATTTTACAATAATTAGATATCACTTTATGCCTAAAAATAACTATTGCCTTTAAAATTATCTACTAATTTTTACCTAATAATAATTGTTAATTATTGCCTTTAAAATCAGATAATGCAAGGTTGACAAAATATACCCACACAGTGTTTGTGGCAACATAAATTATGTGATCTTTAGGAAAGCAATTTGCCACTGCACAGTGAAAGGAATTATATTCATTATTCTACCAAATAAATCCTCCTTGTGGGAATTTTATTTTATGCAAAAATCCAAGAGAAAAAAAAGGACTCACCTATATTTATATACTTATAAATTTTTAAATTTAAAATGGCAGTATTATTTAAAATGGCAAAATATTAAAAAAAAAAACACATACTGTCCAACCATATATCCCCTCAAAAGAATACTTAAAAGCCAATGTAAAGGGCAAGTGTGGAACTTACTAAGTGAGTCTTTGCCACTCTTCCAATCATTTCTTAGCGCTGCTTCCTAACATTCTAGAAACCCTCTTTTTTGAAACTCAGTGTTTACGTGTCTCTTAAATTCCCCTCCCACCCACTGAAGCAACTCACTCAGGACTGCCCTGTGAAAAACCCTCATTCTTTAGATCTGGGGTGTTCCTGGGAAAGCAATCAGATATTATGTGCACAAGCAGTTTATTTCGGGAATCAAAATATTTTCCGCCTGCTGAAATCTCCATATCAATGATTCGTACCACTCATTCAGTCAAGCCAGACTTCTAGGAGTTATCTTCACTCTTACACCCTTAGTCAGTTGGTTAAGATCTGCAGAAGTGAACTAACTTCTCTTCTCTGTCTGGACTATATTCAAATATCAGCAAAATAACATAAAAGAGAAGTCTGTGGAAAAATCAATTTAGTACTAAAATTATACTATTATAAAACTGAAAAATGAGAAATAGAAATAGAATATGCATGCTAAAATATAATTTCCAACATGAAGGAAAGTCCTGAAAAAAAAAAAAGATCGTTCATGAAGACAATAAAATAAACAGATCAAAGCAATTAAGAAAAAGAACACAAATATTGACAATAAAGACTTCGCAACACAAGGCCAACAGGACTTTCTGAAATAGAAAATCTAGCGGTTGCATTTCTCTGAGAGAAGACTGTTTACTCATTCCCATCTGAAAACACTGAGAAATAGAAGTAGGTCAGTGATAAAGAATCCAAAAAAATAAAAAAAAAACACCATTATTTTGATAAAGGCTAAGTACGTCACTTATCTGGGCAGCTACACAGACTTGCTGTCTGAATCGCGGTCGTTGGCACACTGATCCACCAGGCAGTGCTGTCAGGGCAGACCACCCCACCTGAGGGGTGGATGGATGGGGGCCTGATCAGGTGCAGCATGACGGATCGGAGGTGAATGTTGGCTCATTCCCATGAGACAGAGGGATAGTGCTGACTTAATCATCCCCAACCTGCTTTTCCAAAATGATCAATGACCTGTCACTCTAACGCCTCAGGACAGAGTGAGTAAAGAGGTGGACAGAGACTATGAGTTATACTAATTGAGAAGAGGGCCAGTGTTCACTCAGTAAAAGGGCTCTCTGAATGTCTAACTGGTGAAATTTTTAGAATTCCTCTGTTGAATGTCTCCCAACCGTCCCCCTTCCGAGCGGGAAAGTTTACAGCAGTCACCCTCTTCCGAAAACCATCATTGTGTACTGGATGTGTAAAGCCGAGAGAACTCACCACGTTAGTCTTAGAGTCTCTGAACCAAAAGCATCATTTCTAGACCTGGTGTAGAGACTGCAGCACATCACTAAATGCTCTAGGCTTGGCATTTGGTGTCCTTGCTTTGTGGGGCTTTTTGGTTGTTTTCCTTGAGATGAGAATAAATGCACTAGGCACACACACGCACACACACAAAGGAGACCGAGTTAAATATTATGTTGAGTGGAAAGACTGTGGAAGATAGTAAGATATGTTCCACTCCCTCTGTCCTTCCAGGCAAAGCAGATGATTGCATTTCTTTCTCCAACATGACTTGCCTACACCAGTAAAATCTGAGCAGAAGTGCCACGTGTTCCTTCCTTGTGGTA